TGCCCACAGGAGGGGCTAAGTGCAAAGAAACTGCTGCTAACTGCTGCTCACTGCTACTCACTGCTGCTCACTGCTGCTCACTGCTACTAACTGCTGCTCACTGCTGCTCACTGCTGCTGTCAGTGAGCAGCAGTGAGCAGCAGTGAGCAGCAGTGAGCAGCAGTGAGCAGCAGTTACCAGCAGTTACCAGCAGTTATATTCGTGTCTTTACTGCACAACGCACGCTGCGACAGCAGCAGTGAGCAGCAGTGAGCAGCAGTGAGCAGCAGTTAGTAGCAGTGAGCAGCAGTGAGCAGCAGTGAGCAGCAGTTAGTAGCAGTGAGCAGCAGTGAGCAGCAGTTAGCAGCAGTTTCTTTGCACTTAGCCCCTCCTGTGTGCCGTGTGGTATATGGGGTATATGCATGGGGCATGCGAGTTAATTGGTTCAAATTCCATAATATTTATAATTGGGATAATTTTTATATCTTAAATTTGTAATTACGTACATCACTAATGACTAAGTGTGTGCACAGAAAGGTTTAAACTTTTTGATTATTCATGATACATTTAATAAATTATTCATGATACATTTAATAAATTTAATTCATTAATACATTTAATATTAATAAATCGAATTTCAAGGAGTCAGAAGTGTAGGCAATTTACTTTCTTTTAATTGAAAACTTTACTTTTGGGCGCAGGTTGTATCTCCACCGAAAGCACAACCAGTGAACCCACTTTGAATTGCATAATTCCACAATCTTACATTAAACATCAAAATCCTGAGCAAGTCACTAGACTAAATCAGGAAACCTGGTTAACTGATGGTCCCAGACACACCAAACTGACACTCCGTCACAAACACATCAATGTCATCAAAAATCTTAACAGTACGCTCAACAACAACAGACAAAATTTCAGAATTGCTGTGCACCTCATCACGGCCACGGGACATTGTGGCCTAAACAAACACCCCCATACCATTCGCAAATCAAGGACCAGTGCTTGTCCTATGTGCGGCGACGGAGAGGAGACTGTCTCACACTTTCTAGGACAGTGTCTGGCTATTGCCCAAATAAGAGGTCAATATTTCCAGGACTATTATCTCTCCCTCAACGACATAAAATTGAACAAATTAGGTGATTTTAGAGAAAAAGCTGGTGAAATCTCTAAAAAAGTGTGTTTCTAGATCAAAACACGCAGTTTTGCTAGTACCTCAGTTAAGTTTTTCAAAATTGTCCCACATTCAAACGACGATTTTGCGCCCCCTAAGATGGCGCCCCCCGCACAGCGGGGTCAGCGCGGTGGGGCCCTTCGTTACGCCACTGTCCTACATAACGGGGGGGGGGGGGGGGGGGGTGACATGTCTCCAATGTCTCCCACACCTTAGACAAAGACATTGGAGACATTGGAGACATTGGAGACACAGCTTTTGGAGACATTGGAGACATTGGGGACATTGGGGACATTAGGGACATTAGAGACACAGCTTTTGGAGACATTGGAGACATTGGAGACATTGGGGACATTGGGGACATTGGAGAAATTGGGGACATTAGGGACATAAAATGGATATTAGGGGCATTGGAGACATTGGAGACACAGCTTTTGGAGACTCCTCCTCCTCCTCCTCCTCCTCCTCCTCCTCCTCCTCCTCCTCCTCCTCCTCCTCCTCCTCCTCCTCCTCAGTCCTCCTCAGTCGTTCTCCTCCTCCTTCTGAGTCGTCCTCCTGGGACCTGGGTCCTCCTCCTGGGTCCTCCTCCTGGGTCCTCCTCCGGACCTCCTGGGTCCTCCTCCTCCTGGGTCCTCCTCCTCCTGGGTCCTCCTCCTCTTCATCCTCCTCCTCTTCCTCCTCAATCATCAGTCCTCCTCCTCAATCCTCCTCCTCATCCTCCTCCTCAATCCTCCTCCTCATCCTTCTCGTCAGTCCTCCTCCTCCTCAGTCCTCCCAAGTCCCCCTCCTCCTCAGTCCTCCCCCAGTCCCCCTCCTCCTCCTATTCAGTCCTCCTCCTCCTCCTCCTCAGTCCTCCTCCTTCTCAGTCCTCCTCCTGAGGGCTGAGTCCTCTTCCTGAGTCCTCCTTCTGAATCCTCCTCCTCTTCCTGAGTCCTCCTCCTCCTAGAGTCCTAGGTCCTCCTCCTTCTCCTCCTCCTTCTCCTCAGTCCTTCTCCTCCTCCTCCTCCTCCCTCTCAGTCATCCTCCTCAGTCATCCTCCTCAGCCATCCTCCTCAGCCATCCTCCTCAGCCATCCTCCTCAGCCATCGCCCATCATCCTCAGTACTCCTCAGTCCTCCTCCTCAGTCCTCATCCTCCTCCTCAGTCCTCCTCCTCATCCTTCTCCTTATTCCTCCTCCTTCTCAGTCCTCCCCAGTCCCCCTCCTCCTCCTATTCACTCCTCCTCCTCCTGGCTCCTCCTCCTCAGTCTTCCTCCTCCTCCTATTCAGTCCTCCTCCTTCTCATTCCTCCTAAGTCCTCCTGAGTCCTCCTCCTCTTCCTCCTGAGTCCTCCTCCTGGTTCATCCTCCTCCTAGTTCCTCCACCTTCTCCTTCTCCTCCTCAGTCCTTCTCATCCTGCTCCTCCTCCTCAGTCATCCTCTTCAGTACTCCTCAGTCCTCCTCCTTCTCAGTCTTCCTCAGTACTCTTCCTGAGTTCTCCTCCTCCTTCTGGGTCCTCCTCCTCCTAGGTCCTCCTCCTTCTCCTCCTCAGTCCTACTCCTCCTCCTCAGTCCTCTTCCTCCTCCTCCTCCTCCCTCTCAGTCATCCTCCTCAGCAATTCTCCTCAGCCATCCTCCTCAGTCCTCAGCCCTCCTCCTCAGCCCTCCTCCTCCTGGGTCTTCCTCCTCTTCATCCTCCTCAGTCCTCCTCCTCATCCTTCTCGCCAGTCTTCTTCATCCTCAGTCCTCTCCAGTCCCCCTCCTCCTCCTCCTCCTATTCAGTCCTCCTCCTCCTCAGTTCTCCTCAGTCCTCTTCCTTTTCAGTCCTCCTGAATCCTCCTCCTCCTCTTCCTCTTGAGTCCTCCTCCTGGGTCCTCATCCTCCTAGGTCCTCCTCCTTCTCCTTCTCCTCAGTCCTTCTTCTCCTCCTCCTCCCTCTCAGTCATCCTCCTCAGTCATCCTATTCACCCATCCTCCTCAGTACTCCTCAGTCCTCCTCCTTCTCTGTCCTCCCCAGTCCTCTTCCTGAGTTCTCCTCCTAGGTCTTCTTCATCTTCCTCAGTCCTCCTCCTCAGTCCTCCTCCTCATCCTTCTCGTCAGTCTTCTTCATCCTCAGTCCTCCCCCAGTCCCCCTCCTCCTATTCAGTCCTCCTCCTCCTCAGTTCTCCTCAGTCCTCTTCCTTTTCAGTCCTCCTGAGTCCTCCTCCTCCTCTTCCTCCTGAGTCCTCCTCCTGGGTCCTCATCCTCCTAGGTCTTCCTCCTTCTCCTTCTCCTCAGTCCTTCTTCTCCTCCTCCTCCCTATCAGTCATCCTCCTCAGTCATCCTCCTCAGCTATCCTCCTCAGTACTCCTCAGTTTTCCTCCTTGTCTGTCCTCCTGAGTCCTCCTCCTCCTGCTCCTGAGTCCTCCTCCTGGGTCCTCCTCCTCCTGAGTCCTCCTCCTCCTAGGTCCTCCTCCTCAGTCATCCTCCTCAGCCATCCTCCTCAGCCATCCTCCACAGCCATCCTCCTCAGCCATCCTCCTCAGTACTCCTCAGTCCTTTTCCTTCTCAGTCCTCCTCAGTCCTCTTCCTGAGTCCTCCTCCTCAGTCCTCATACTCCTCCTTCTCCTCCTGAGTCCTCCTCCTGGGTCATCCTTCTCCTAGATCCTCCTCCTTCTCCAATCATACATCTACGTCTCCAGTGTCTCCAATGTCTCCAATGTCTCCAAAAGCTTTGTCTCCAATGTCTCCAATATCCCCAATGTCTCCAATGTCTCCAAAAGCTGTGTCTCCAATGTCTCCAGGACATGTCTCTGCACCCTATCTTTTCAAAAAAGACAAAAGACATTGGAGACATGTCACCCCCCCCCATAACACATTCTGATTCCTCCCGCATCCTCCCATAGGACTGTCAATGGCATACCCCAGAGGTAGGCAAAGCATCCACATGCTATCCTCTCGTGGGCCACCCAGGCCCAGCCTCTCTTCAAAAAAAACAAAAACATCCTATTTGATACATATGAAATATGTTTATAACTTGCTTGATTCTGCACTAAGTTGGCGTTAGAAGACCAATATTGAACAAGGAATCGTTTTAGATCACTTTCGAGGCACCTCAACAAAAGCTACTCACGCTATTGTACTTTTCACGGAGAAATACGTCAGTAGCGTTTTTGAGCTTGTTATTCTCTTTCTAAAGTATTCCAAGTAATTTTTATAAGTGCATATATTAATTCTGAATACATTGAAAAAGATTTTATCTCAATTCATGAAAAAAGTTACAGCAATGCGCACAATTTGGGGAGTGTGCTTTCGGTGGAGATTTAACCTGCGCCTTACTTTTGTGGGGCACCTTGCTTCTGTGGGGCACAAGTATCCTCAACTTCAAATGAACAATGAACATGCAACATGTCCATCTAGTTTTGTCGTCTAAACCATTGATCAGTTGTTTTATACCAAGTCATCTCATTTAGTCAGCAGACACTAATAACTCTTGCCATATTTCAGTCCAGTAAGAAATAAGGGCAGATTTAAGTTAAGTTTTGGACTGGTTAGTCTATTCTTGTTGAGTTGAATCTATCCACATGCTCGCTCAATTGTATCTTGCAAATAGTTAGTCAATAGTGATGATATACATTGATGTTAACCATTTGCTTGCTCAAATTTAGATATTTCCAATCAATTTGATATAACAAGGATCTGGAGTTGTTAAAGCATTTTATTTTTGAGCAAACCAGTTAAGAGGTAAAGAAGTAAAAAGGTAAAGAGGTAAAGGTAAAGAGGTCACATGTGTGTGCATGTTGAACATTTCATCAAGATATAAAACAGAAATTATGGATTTTAATTTTACGTATTTGTTAAGTAACTGTAATAACTAATATCATACTCACAGGATGTAATCTGATGGTTATCACAGATAATGAGATAGTATGAATCAGGTTTGGAGCAGGTGGGATGGACTTTGCACAAAAGCGTTTAACACGTGAACTGAAACTCTTACAATCAGACCCTCCCGCTGGGATTGTGCTTGATACTGATAGCGTGACATGTGTCACTAACTGGTTAGTGACACTTTGTAATCACATTCTTCTTGTCCTATAATTTAGTGATGAAATTTTTGCTTATAGTTTATTCTGGAAATCACAAAATAAAATTATTATGAATTTATTGTTTGTTTAATGTTTGGATGACAGTTGTTTATTTCAGCTGGACAATCATGATCAATGGAGCTAAGAACACTGTATTTGCTGGGGAGGAGTTTAAACTCCAAATCAAATTCACACCCAGATACCCATTTGAAGCACCCATAGTAAGTTTTTTAACTGTATACTTATTACATACCTTTTTAGATTGAAATACTGTAAATTTCTCTTTTTTCTCTGTTTGCATGTCTCGTTGTATGATGGAAGTTACAGTGAAGTTCTGTGGCATACTGCATATTATCCAGGGAATCGCCCACCCTTTTTCACACAAACACACCCGACACCGTTTATAATGATATGTGACTGTCCACAGTTCAAATCATCACTTTATAATTAGTGTCAAAATTATAACTGTAGTAAATTAAGTATTCTGATATCTTTAACCTGTACCTTATTTTTCTGAATCGGCTGATAATTTTCTAAACTGTCAATTTTCAAGCTGTGTTAATCAATGTTATGATAATAGTAGCTGGCATGTTTAAGAAGCTGGTGATTGTTTATGTTATCAAACAAAAATAAATAGTATGTATATTGTTTATATACAGAACTACATACATAATAATCTTACCCTGGAACTATCTCACCACATGGTATAGCTGAGATTCCAGAAACCTAAACACTACACACTACACACTACACACTACACACTACACACTACACACTACACACTACACACTACACACTACACACTACACACTACACACTACACACTACACACTACACACTACACACTACACACTACACACTACACACTACATACTACACACTACACACTACACACTACACACTACACACTACTCGCTGTACTGAGAGCATGAATATCGTGAGATGCGATTAGTCCAAAAGAAAGATGAGTGTTTTGTTAAGTGATTTACATGACAATGTGATACCAAGTGTCTAAGATTAGTATTTCGTTTCTCTGAGCAGTGAGGTGATATCCAATATCCAATATCCGTATTGGAACTGGTCATTCAGTAGTGTTTATCTGGCTTATATTATTTATTGTATCATCACATCAGAGGTATCGAATAGAAATGTTAAACTGTTGTCATATTATACAGACTGAGAGTTCAATGTTATTATGTTATGTTATATTATGTCTTATTATGTTTTATTATTGTGAAACATAATGTCAATTATTATTTCTTCATTAGGCGTAAGAGAAAATTTATTAAAGATTTGTTTAATATACTGGAGAACGCTGTAAAGCTTGATTTTTGTAAAGAAAAGTAAATTATAGACACCTAACATTCTGAGTAGATACATTCTCTCACAGTATCAACTACAGGCAGAAATCTTTTCATACTTAACACACACAATTTAAAACATATAACTCTGTGACCTGGATTGTTTTTAATTGGTGTGTAAGCTAAACACTAGCTGCTTGCTCTGCCATTACGTCATTATACTCATTTAGTAGGTGACTCTGGTATGTGACACCAACACAAAAGAATGTTGTTTCTAGAATGATCCATTCAACTGTGCCTCTGTGTATCTAATGAATGTATCGTGTCGGGGTACCATTGTTGGGATCACGGTTAATCAGAACAGATGATGTTTCTGAAGGAAGCTGTGAGCTAAAGAGTTTGGTTTTGTGGTTGATTTTGAAGTGTGAGATCACTAGGACTAGGACTAGGCTTTACTATTATCTTAGATGATGAGTAGTAGAGTTAGTATGCATACATACATGCAAATTAGATTATCAGTTTTGTCGAAATTTAATCAGTCCCTTTGCTTCACTTGTAGGGCTGAAAGCTTTACACAACCATCATTATAAATCAATAAAACATTTTATTTCATTAAAACATTTTGTAAAAGAAAATACATGAGTAAAATGTTGTGACATGACAACTTAAATAATGGTTTTAATTGATAGCAAATCTCAAAATAGCTCTTAAATTAGTCTTCTTAATCGATTTATGCCATTAAAGGCCTCAGCCAACCCATCACAGACAATGCAACATAATAACAATTAACAATCCACCATTCACGCTTCGAAAATATGACCAGAGAATTCCATATTACAATGTACTAGGGATTGTATAGAGTTCCCTGATATAAATTACTTGACGAAGTTTAATGTGGATTAATGAATATTGAAGAGTGTGTAACGTGTAACCGTGTAACGTGCACAAGTTAAATAGTATAATAACCACATTGTCCAAACTTCAGAGTGTAAACTTTATGTAATGTTCCTAAAATTCCTGTAAACATGTTCCTGGCACTCCTCTACATGTGTTCCTGGCACTCCTCTACATGTGTTCCTGGCACTCCTCTACATGTGTTCCTGGCACTCCTCTACATGTGTTCCTGGCACTCCTCGTAGAGCTGTATACCATGCAGCATCTGTTTCCACACCTCCCCAGCCTTAAAGCACAAGCTACCTCCGCCTCTGGTAAACTGACTGCTCATCCTGTTGATGCCCCCTACACAGAGGTGTCCCTGATCTGTTACAGCCCACTTACTGTGGTCCTGTGTCTCTGTGTACTCCCGGTCTAGCAGCTTCATCTTCACGTTGTTGTACACAGCTGTGTCTCCGCTACAGTTGGATGGGATCCTCCCTCTCCCGTTCTGCCATGTCTCTGTGTACATGTTCTCCTGGAGGTGCGGTGCTATCACGTCCTTGTACAGATCAGAACCAAACTCTCCCGTTTTAGCGAACGCTGTGAACTTCATGTCTTGTTCTGCTGTCTCGAACTCTTGTATCTTGACCCAGGGAGCTCCCTTGACATGTTTACCGTGTAGTACCAGATCTAAGTACTGTATGTTGTCAGTGTACTTCTCACTGACACTAGAGTTGTAGATCATGGGCCACGTGTAGTACAAGTGTTCTGTGATCAGACCCAGTGCTTTCTCCTCCATGTCAATACACAAGATAGACTGTCCAAATCTCTCTGCTGTCGCCGGGAACGAGTATCCTTTCTCTTTTTGGGGAGGGAAGTTAGGAACACTGTGTATCAGCCACTGTATACTGCTGTCGTCGTTCCAGATCACCGCACCTGTGAGTGTGTGTGTTCTTGTCTCAGTACAGAGTGTACATAGTTATGCTTCACAATGTTATACCATAGGAATGTAAATATTTGGATCTATCATACATTCCACTTGTCATGTATCGTGCTCAGTATAATAGAGAAGTCTTATTTTGTGTGCCGGAATCAAATTGGTGGATTAGAGAACAGGTACAGAATCCATTTAAGTATTCCCAAATTGAAACGACACAATCGGACGCCAAATAAAATTCCCCGATTTACCATAGAGTCTGGGGAAAATGAAAATAGTACAGTAAATTGGGGTTTTGATTTCGGAATTCCAGGTGAAACACATGATATTTCTCAGCACAATATTGGTTCCAAATCTGGGCTTATGGTTGACAAGCACTCAAGTAAGCGTAGTTAGGGGGAAAACTAGCCTGACAACTCATGACAAGCTTGCTTGAATTGACGGTCCGTGTATAGAGCGTAAAGGATCACGTGATGTCAAACTAAAATATTTATATTTTTTCAAAAATTTTGGGGGAACCCGAAGAGGTACAGTAAATCGGGGTTTGATGGTTAAAATCATGGTTTTACTGTAATAAACAAACCTTTAGTGTGTCCCCTACAAGTTGTGACTGATCCATCAGGAACCTGATCGTTGTACACGATAAAGTTAGTACCGTGATCAGCGTCAGAGTAGATCGGTTCTAAAACTCGACCTGCTGGATTCTCTTTATCTGTCAGCTTGTAAGACCCTTTCTTCAGCTCACCTTCTACATTATCTGAAATAATACAGTGTTATTGGAATTAAGCTTTAATGTTATAAGCTGTAATGACGTGAACTATTTAATAAAACACAAATGTAGATTATTGTACTGATAACACTAGTGTATATTTCTCTCGCTCTCTGATAATGTGCAGTCTACGACCCATCTGATAGCAGGCTTCAATGATCACTCCAGTAATATAAACCTTGGCAAATGTCCAAAAGTAAATCTTGTACTGAAGTATTTATAAAACTTGGCAGATAAAAGGACGATAAATCTAGTCAGATAAATATAAACTGAGAGTTGACAGTTTGCAAATTATCGGTAATCAGAGGATACAATTTACAGAACATTATCGTGTTTTGTACGAATGCGTTATAGTCGGGGGTTAAACATAAGACAGTGATTATAAAGGAGTAATACCTGCGTACAAGTAGTCGTAACCACCAGGCATCTTGAGCATGAGGAACCATGACCTCGCCTCCCCCTCTTCATTAACACATTTAGCAACAACCCCTGACGAGAGAACTAGCAAAACAAACAATCTCAACATGACACTGTTGATTTGTAGGACTGTTCGAAAGTGTACAATGTAAGAAATGGTGCTCTGAGTACTGTGGTTTGTGTGTATCTGTGTGTATCTGTGGTTTATCGTGTACTGCGTTTTTTGCTTCCTTGTTAATCTAGCTCACGTTTTTTCCATTTGTAACACGATGCTTGGAGATATGACAGAGTTTTTCGTCAAGTGCGTCTCCTTTTATGGGATAAATTGTGATTTATGACGGGTTTTAAAGGTTATCATAGAACTGTTTCTGTGTTGACTGTTGTAACATTTTGCCATCAACACATAAAAATCACATTTTAAGCGGCGAACATAAAACTTAGCCTTGTCTGTGTGGTCTGGTCAATGAACACGACAACTTATGTTAAAACTAAAGGTATAGGTTTAACTTAAAACTATACCTTTAGCTATACTACGTACCAAATACCTGGTACTCGTAACCACAGCTGGTAAATCACATACAGTGGATGTTAAGTGTGCTATACTGAATACACTTAGCTTAGCAAGTGGTGTAATAGTTTTACAAACATCATGCATGGGAACAATACGCTTTAAACCACATACTCGTAATATGAGACTTCCAATCTAACACTACTTCCAATCTAACACTACTTTACTATTACAGTAGTTATACTACTCGTAAAATGTACATACACGTCTTATCGTGGGTGTCTAATGTGTATTTCCTATTATAATCATCATAAATTGGTTGCGTTTAAAGATATTAACTTTGTTATGATGTATTTGTGGATACTACATGGCTTATTTTCATTAAGTTAACAGTTTTATCCCAGGCGCCTAAGTTATTTTTATAGGTGCCCTCCAATAAACCTGGCAGTTCTATTTCATGTAATGTTTATAGGTGATCCTTCAATAAACCCAGTTCTATTTCATGTAATGTTTATAGGTGATCCTCCAATAAACCCAGTTCTATTTCATGTAATGTTTATAGGTGATCCTCCAATAAACCCAGTTCTATTTCAGGTAATGTTTATAGGTGATCCTCCAATAAACCCAGTTCTATTTCAGGTAATGTTTATAGGTGACCCTCCAATAAACCCAGTTCTATTTCAGGTAATGTTTATAGGTGACCCTCCAATAAACCCAGTTCTATTTCAGGTAATGTTTATAGGTGATCCTCCAATAAACCCAGTTCTATTTCAGGTAATGTTTATAGGTGACCCTCCAATAAACCCAGTTCTATTTCAGGTAATGTTTATAGGTGATCCTCCAATAAACCCAGTTCTATTTCAGGTAATGTTTATAGGTGACCCTCCAATGCACCCTCATGTCTACAGTAACGGACACATCTGTCTGTCCATCTTGACGGAGGATTGGTCCCCAGCTCTCAGTATTGAAACCATCTGTCTCTCAATACTCAGCATGCTCTCCAGCTGCACTGAAAAGGTATTTTTACTTAGATAATGTTAACTTATCACTGTTCAAGTGATGCTACTAATACTTAGTATTACTTACACTGCCATAATATTATTATGTATGATAACTTGATAATGCTTCCTGTGTAAAGTATTATATTTAAGGAAATTGAGAATGTTGTTTTTCCTCATCGTTCAAAAAATCAACAACGAATAAAAATCGGTGTATATAATAAGATATCGATTTATTGCTCAGGATTCTATAACATAGAATCTATATATCCTATGATTGCATGATACGTAAGTTGCACCTACACATAATCTATGTCCCTATACGTGTTAGTAGTGTCAATAGTAGCGCGCAAAGCTGTTTTTGAGTAGATGCCGGCGTCCGGTATGCACTTAAATTATAAACAGTTGTCTACTATAATATTACACTTCTGTTTTTAATTGTATACAGTGATTTATAACATTTACCTGATGAGAGAATAGGAAGAAAACACTCGCTGTAAGATAGATCCACTGTCTAATCTGTATCCAAGGTATTTAAATCAATATTGTCTTCTCAGGGGCGACCGCCTGGCAATGATTTTTACGTTCAGACTTGTCACAAGGACCCGAGGAAGACTCAGTGGTGGTATCACGGTGAGTTCTGGAAAATTATTCTGTAATTAATTATTTGAATGTTACTGTGAAAGAATCTATGTTTGCAATTATTATGCGCTATTTAATAGTTTCACGATTGAATCGGTATTAGTTATATTATTTTAGATTTCTAAGAATTTTACAATCATCGTAATCTTCAAAAGATCAAACTATTATTAAGTGAATTACCGCGCTTTGAAAGAGCTCCTGATGGTTAACCAAATTCTACCACCGACCCCTGAATTTTGTAATGCAACCATAATCCTCCATAGCTCTGTCGTAATCGTGTAACTATTTGCATTATCACGCACCGTTTATACAATTGGTTCACAGCCTTCAATTCGCCCAAAATGGGGACTCTCTAGTTTCTGTATGGTTGCAGTTTCTAATTCAGTATGCAAGCTGTATCTGAATGTAACAGTGCAATATCATTTGTCGCAAATCAGAATAATCAGAAACTATTTGGAAAAACCCAAAAACTGTCTATTGAATGTATAAGGGTAGATCAATACTTACATCTGATCTAAGTCTGATTATCAGCTCTATAACTCAGAGATCCTCGGCTGTCTGTATGTTGAACATTTCTCTTTCGTACAGAAGAAGTGGAAATCAAGGGGCATGATCCGCTGTCTTCGATATGGGGCGAGAAAACACGTTTTCTATTTTTAGATTGATCATTTTTGTAACGCGCAGTCCGATGTCCTATATCTACGCAGCATTTACGAACGCGCGTCATAACGCGCGCAGCTCAATTTTGATCTTCCTCGGACCGATTAAAATTGAGTTGTGTGTGCAGCAGAAGTACAACTTCCGGTCGAATGCTTCAAGTTTGGCTTCTCGTAATGTCTTTTAGTGCCAGCGAGCGGAATCGGAAAGCTGAACGTGTGAAATCACTAACGGGTCAAATTATGGACATTGTTCGCACAATTTCGCAATCAGAATTTACTTCGACTTGAACATATTATAAGGGTGAAGGATTCATCTAAATATCACGCCTGCAACTATTTTTGTCCCTCATGTCAGTGGTCAGCATTTTGTCCTATGGGTTTATTCAGGCATTATTCGATAAATACTTACCTTTCAGACGATAAAGTGTGAAGATGGATTACTGCAAACGAACAATGCTGACAACCAAATACTTGAAATTCGCCGTCAACTCTGTCTCATTAAATGACGATATAATTTAAGTTATTATGTTTTCTCTCACTTTGCCGAGCACTGAGTAGTGTTATCAAAAAAACTGTTTTATTTATGAATCTCTATTTTTGGATGCAATTCTATCATTGTTTGCAATTACTTATCTATAAATAATGCGAAATATTTTTACATACGTGATATGCAGTGGACGATGTATGTAGTGCAGGTGGCACGTTTTTCTTTGCCCTTTTTCTCGTGGCAAATGATACGTACGTACTACACATAACAGGGGTTTGGGTTATAATTACAATTCTTTGTTATCTATGCATTTTATTTTGTGTATATTACCTTAAAATTTCAGACCTTAATTTGTCAGCGTGATAAAATCAATGTGGGATAACTCAGTGGAAGAGTATTTCTATATGGAGCATTAACAATGGAATTGTATCACGCCCAAATGAAGAATGCTACAGCCTACAAATATGTATATACAAGTTTACAGTCACACTCTAATACTGATCTACGATTTTTTGGTTACTGGACAAGAAATACTTTATTTTTACAAATTGTTACATTACAAATTGTTGATTGGTTACATCGGCATTGCCAAAATGAAATAAATTCATATAATATCAAATATTTTGGTTGCATTTTAACAGTGCTCATATCAAATATTTGTACCATAATGACAGAATCTAACAGTTGACAACTTCGTTTGTTGACAGTGAACATTTAAACATCTCAACTGAACAATCATAACAAAAACACGGCTAAAGAAACAGCTAGTTTCGCAGCCCCCTCCTCGGCAGGATCAGTCATTGCAACTAAAGCACTCGTCCTCCTTGTCCTCGTCATGAAGAGATATGGAACTGAGTCTAACCGTGCTTGGGGGACATGTCCCTGTTAAGCAGTGAAGTGCTATTGCGTCGAACAGTTCTGGTATTCCCTCCCCAGTCTTGCTGCTTATTCTGTACGGTCCTCTCGCCCCTGAGTATGACATTTTGTGAGTTAGGTGGAATTGAAATGAGCTCTTGTCAGTTATTAGGTACAACGGAGCGATGCGACCCTAAAACATAGGAATAAATCAGAATGGGTTCCTCATCTAAATTATAATAATGATAATGATAAGCGATGACGTGGACTCACCTATCTTCTGTTTAAAAGTTAGGGCTTCTTGCTCAGATACCTCTTCAACGATTCCGTCACATTCAAGTAAATCTATTTTAGTGGCGACTAGAAATACTCTGCAGGAGGGTTCATTCTGCCTCAATCTGTCCGCCCAGAACATGGCTCGGTCGAATGACTGCAAGGATACTGTCTCGTAGCATAGGATAGCTACCTGGGGAGACACTGAGCTGATTTATTGTCATTCACAGTTCAGATAAGCAAACAGATATAATAGGTAGAGCTTAATTTGTACAGAACTTTTTGAAATTATCATGAAATTAAAGTCTGACTTTTGATGGAAACGGAATGGTTCATTCTGTTGTCTTTTATAGTATAGTATGAAACAAACTAAACACTTTAGTAAAGCTGATAAGCAGTAACTAGAACTACTTATCAAACAAAAATGCACTAATCGGTCTTAAAACTGCTGTGTCCCATTATTGTAAATTAATAACGCTAAGAATTCTTGTTAAAGTAGTGACGATAAACACTAAAAGCATAATATTATCTCTTCTACATATCAGGTTTATTTGTAAATACGACCAAATCTATCAAATAATCCAGGTTGCAAGTATAGATTATAAAATTGTTAAGATGCATGGTGTGAAATAAATAAACAAATTTACAAATTACCGTTTTATCTCCATTCTATTAAGTCCCTAAACGTTAGTATTAAATTTTGAACAAAATATTGCTTCTTCCCTGTCCAATAAAATTGGTTTTGTTCTCTTAACGATCCCAAATCTAAAAGTTTCAAAATTAAAGATATTTCTGTGCTCAATATAACAGTGCATAGATAAGGCAGAATGTTCATAAATTTCTCGGTCATCTTAAATAAATTTACTACTAAAATAAAATTACTACGGATGTGAAAATTGGAGTGAGTGTCTGCCCGAAATAAGTGTCTTCGCGCCTGTGTGCAACATAGCTGACACTGGGCAACATAGATAACGTGCTTGTCCTTGCATGTTAGAGTTCCGTCTAGCATCAGTTCTATGTTGTTGACCATGATCTTTGAGTCCTTGTCAAACAGTACGGGGCAAGTCTTTCAGCCAGGTTCATTACACCTCTGTTGTCCTACAATCTACATCAATTAGGGTTCCCAGTTGTCGATTCATCACTAGTGTATTACCGATCGAAGGGTGTTTCCTAGTGGCGAATACTATTCGTACATCCCAACATAACCTCTTAATGTCCGGATTAAGTTGTTCAACCAACACTTTAAGACCAATGTTATCAAGAATAAACTCTGTTGTGTCTTATCCTATTATTAAATACAAATTACATTGTAACGTCGATTACTTGGGACTCTTGGGCCGTGGCCGTAAAAGAAGGGCATATTTCCCTGTAATCCCTAACACACTGCACACCAAAGTATGATTTACATTTTACATCCATCTGCACATAAACCCAGTTATCTAAATTATCGAATTTTGGTGTATTAAACTCGAAGCCTAGTATGAGTAAATCGAGGGTTTGCTTAGTGGTCGTTCACATATTACGTAATCAGCCGAGAAATAACATTGACGTGTGACTATATTCATCAACTGGTTGTTTACTCATTGTCAAAGATTTATACCTGAGCATCTCGGTAGTAAAGCTTAGTCAAGGAATCAAACCGCTCGGCTCCAGAGGTGTCCCATACGTTCAGTTGGATTTTTTCCTCTTCTGAGAATGAGACCATTTTCGCTGTATAGGCCGCTCCTGAAAACAGCCCAATGAAATGGTAAGTTCCCTAACCACTAACAAAATTTGCAGTTATCTTCTAAGCGAAAGTGAGAAGCAGGAAACTTTTCGTCATGAACCCTGGTTATCACGGTTAAAGTGGAACAGAAGTTAAAAATACGTGGTTGGCTTTATAATTATGTTCATTATTAACCCTGATAAAACTCGTTACTCGAAAATTATAAAAGGAACAGAGCATTAATTGAATTCCATAATGAAGTGACCCTATCTAAATTAGGTTTTCCTAAAACCTTATCAGTAATAAGTTCATTGCAGGTATCGTGATGCACGATCAAGGGACACGTAAGTGACTTACTTACTGTGTCTAACAGGTTTTCCTATTTAAAGAAGCGCCCCCTTCAATTTTCTTCGGTCTCACACAGCAGCATCTTTAGTTTTTATGATTTGACTTTAAGAACCATTTCTCAATTCTCCAGCGCATTGTAAATTTATCATCGAACTTTAATTGTCCTTTATAACTATATCATTGTGTTTATAATACTTATTCGTAACTTAAACCTAGCAACCGTCCCTCCCAGAATCTAGAAATGAAGGCGATATTAATGTGGCTGCTGTGGCTTGTAACGGTCACTACCTCACAAGATCAACAATCAATGCTTACCACCTCACAAGATGATTTAGTATTCTCCTTTGATATAAACTCCTTTCTTAAACACTACTTTGACAACATGATTGATGAAGCCAAAACAGAAGTCCGTGAGTCGTGGCTCTCTGAAGACGGTTTGTCTCTGAGATCAGAGGGCATGCAGAACCTGGCAGCTCTGGAAGCACTGTGTGACAATAGGGAGACTGTTATAGTTGGGAAGAGTTGCAGGGGGGAGTTTACAAAACTTGGGGATTGTGCTGATACTCCCTGTCGGGTGTTAGACTGGGCCAAAAACCAGGCTCCGGTTTCTCTCTCCAGGCGAGTTGTAGTGTACACTAATAGTCGTGTGACGTGTGACTGGTTATTGGTTGAACACATAGAGTAATATATAAATATATGTCATGCAACCTGACAAACCCTTCAACGTTATGTTAATTGTATTTATTTAACTTAGTATTACTACTTAGTATTACATTTACTAATAGTAAAAGTTGAAGATGATAATCTCTGACCAGGTTTTTAGCAGCAGAGTCCTACGAGGATATATACAGGATAGTATTCGGGGAAGGTATAGTACCACTGTGGAGGTTGCTGTGTGAATGTCCTGGTGTTATAAACGCCAGTATCGAGTGTGTCAGAACAGAGTTTGTGGAAGAAGTGACGGCGCGTAAGTTTAACTGGAATGCGGTAAGATCAGTGTTGCAGGGAGTAATAAAGTCAGGATGTGGTGAAGTTGGAGGATCTGAGTGTTTGGTGGAGATGTCGGAGTTGCAAGCTAGTATCGGAAGAGTTCTGGATAACACTTACAGGGGAGAGGAAGGGTGCCTGTCTCTGAGAAGGGCGGAGAAGGAGCTTACAGGAGTGTTCAGGGTTTTGGTAAGTTTAGTTATATTTTTTATTTGTACTTGTTATACTTATTGTTAACGACATCAAATGACAAGTTTATACTTTACGATCAAACAAAGCTGGAATGATTCATGCACATTGACTTAGCAATTAGCATGTCCCTTGCTAAGGTTTTGACAATTACATGGACCCCGACCCACCAGATTACTGGGCGGCGTCCAGCCTGTCATTCCACCGAATCTTTATTGTTTATGGACATTATAGCCTGGGATCCCTGCAGGTAACCCAAGAGACTGCATTGCCATCAGAGTACGTGGAGGCGTACATTGCAGAGTGTGTCAAGTTGTGGGATGAGCTTATGTGCGATGGAGACTGTGCCGGAGAGATGCAGGACACCTTTTACTCCAACTGTTGCATTAAACGAGCTGCTGAATTCCTGAACTCTAAGCAGATGAGGAAACACTTCAATAAGCTCTTCAAGAACGTCTGGAGTCTGTATTTCGAGGAACCCTCTCCAAAACGAGTTGTAGACCAGTACCTATCCATGTTTGAGCCGGCCACTTTTTGTGGGGACAAGACTGGGGCTTATAAATACTTTAACAAACAATGTGATCAAGCCATAGGGGCTTAACTTCAAGCTGACGTAAAACTCTTTGGGTAAAATTATGACCCGTATGGCATACATGAGTGCAGAATGCAGTGACGTATATGAATATGCGTGCTCAAATTTTATATAATTATTTGTACTTTTGATTTTGTACATCTGATATTGATCAACACGTAATGTTTTTGGGAAGAAACTAAATTTACTTTTGATTTTATTATTAGTCAATATTTTGAAATGTTTATTAAAAGTTTAAAGTCATTTAAACCTAATTTCTAAAGTTTGCGTATTAATGTTTGCACAAACCGATAGTAGTGTAGGTGTTTTTTTCAAAGTTTCCAGCGTTCCATCGAATAATGAGAGTTGTTTTTCCAGCGTTGTCTGCTCCAAGTAAGATTACCTTAGCCACTTTCATTTCCGGGGTGCTCCGACCAAACATGGGTGAAACGTGGCTTCTCTGAACTTCAAAAGAACACTTAACACAAACGGGCTCAGCTGCTTCGCAAGAACTGATACTTGCTTAAAAGCTAGATCTTTACATTTGGGCCATAAATCTGAACTGAGGATGAAATCTGTGTGAATATACGACAATAGTGAGCCCTTAAACTAACGATCAACTCAAACATAGGCCAGTTAGCAATGCAAAAGATAAAGCACAACTGGGCTGAAATAGCTATGAAACGTAGCCGGGTATGGGATAATGTTATGATAGTTAGTATCCTGATCTCCATCGAATGCAGTCCAGAATCCTTCTCATATAATACAATGCAGCTGCACAATACACAATACACCCTGCTAACTAATGTGCGATCCATATTGATACATAATGTAAATGAAACCACGTGACGCCTATGCTATAAGTATAATACAACCAATTTCAGCCTTACAAAGAGCTTCTTAATGGCAACCCTAACCGCAATGACGTGGACTATGAGAATGTCAGTCGCATGAAAACGATCTAAAACGAAAATGACCGGTCGTGACGACGAGGAATTCCCAACATTCCACACATTTCATAGTTGTAACTTGCGGAGAAGCTTGTGGAGTAACTTGCGGAGAAGCTAGGATAGTTAAATGTAGGCATTGTATAGTGTAGGTACTATACAAGTGTAGGTACTATACAAGTGTAGGTACATTGCACATTGTCAAAACATTGCGAAAAGTGGAAGACTGAAGTTGCAAGTTTTTAATGTGAGTTGAACTTGATGAAACAAGACTAACCAAATAACATACAATCTGAGAAAAACTTCACAGTAAACTTGGCATCCATTTTGTCTTGTTGAGCTTTCATATTATTTAATCGGGCATGTTTAACAATTACATAGTGGCATGTCATTATGATACGGCCAAATTTGATTTCTGGGATGCAATATCCAGTCTTTAATAGTATTATATTTGACCGGGGCCTTTGAATCTGACCATCGACAGATTACTATACCGAATTGCCGGCTCCTCTTGTTGTACTAGTGAGAGACAACTGTGACCAATCAGTGAGGTCAGTGTGAGTGACACAAGTCATCATAGAGGTACTGAGCTGAATATTAAATCCGGAAAAATCTCTGATGAAGGGAAAATTGTGAAAATGTCCGACCAGTAGGAAATTTTCAGATTTTAGCTTACCGCAACCAAAACTTCACTGTTCTGACGAAATTTTCTTGAATGACCAATTATTGTGTTCACTATGGATGGCAGAAGACACAATTGAGGCACTAAAAGATACATAACCAAAGAAAGCTCTGACAAGCGGAAAATCGTCAGAATAGAAAGAAACATTTTGGAAGATTATTGAACAGAAGCTTAATACTGAATTTCTCACCCACAACCAATTAGTTAGTCAACTATAGATGGCACATGACACGATTGAGGTTATGGAAATTTGATTTCGGTCGGAGGAAGCTCACTGCAGAAAGCTTAACAAAACGAAAATTCACATTTTCCAAATTCTGTCCCATTTTCAAATATGAAAATTTCTGAACACAAATTTGACAGATTGGATGGACCTTTTGCCCAGAGACCAATTAGTCAGTTAATTGATGATGGTATGAAACCAAATTGAATTACTGAAAGTCAAAATCCCGAAGAAAATTGAAAAATCATACTGCCCCAAATTCTGTCCCATTTTCAGTTTTTGAAGATGAAATTTCCAGGACCGAAATTTTACAGTTTCTACTGAATTTCTCACCCACATTCAATTAATTAGTCAACTATAGATGGCATATGACACGATTGAGTTTCTGGAAATTTGATTTCGGTCGGAGGAAGCTCACTGCAGAAATCTTCACAAAACGAAAATTCACATTTTCCAAATTCTGTCCCATTTTCAAATATGAAAGTTCTGAACACAAATTTGACAGAATGGATGGAATTTTTGACCAGAGACCAATTAGTCAGTTAATTGATGATGGTAAGAAACCAAATTGAGTTACTGGAAGTCAAAATCCAGAAGAAAATTGAAAAATCATACTGCCCCAAATTCTGTCCCATTTTCAGTTTTTTGAAGATGAAATTTCCAGGACCGAAATTTTACAGTTTCTACTGAATTTCTCACCCACATTCAATTTGTTAGTCAACTAGAGATGACATATGACACGATTGAGGTTCTAGAAATTTGATTTTGGTCGGAGTTAGCTCACTGCAGAAATCTTCACAAAACGAAAATTCACATTTTCCAAATTCTGTCCCATTTTCAAATATGAAAATTTCTGAACACTAATTTGACAGATTGGATGGAATTTTTGCCCAGAGACCAATTAGTCAGTTAATTGATGATGGTAAGAAACCAAATTGAGTTACTTGAAGTCAAAATCCCGAAGAAAATTGAAAAATTATACTGCCCCAAATTCTGTCCCATTTTCAGTTTTTGAAGATGAAATTTCCAGGACCGAAATTTTACAGTTTCTACTGAATTTCTCACCCACATTCAATTAATTAGTCAACTATAGATGAAATATGACACGATTGAGTTTCTGGAAATTTGATTTCGGTCGGAGGAAGCTCACTGCAGAAATCTTCACAAAACGAAAATTCACATTTTCCAAATTCTGTCCCATTTTCAAATATGAAAATTTCTGAACACAAATTTGACAGAATGGATGGAATTTTTGACCAGAGACCAATTAGTCAGTTAATTGATGATGGTAAGAAACCAAATTGAGTTACTGGAAGTCAAAATCCAGAAGAAAATTGAAAAATCGTACTGCCCCAAATTCTGTCCCATTTTCAGTTTTTGAAGATGAAATTTCCAGGACCGAAATTTTACAGTTTCTACTGAATTTCTCACCCACATTCAACTAGTTAGTCAACTACAGATGACATATGACACGATTGAGGTTCTAGAAATTTGATTTTGGTCGGAGTTAGCTCACTGCAGAAATCTTCACAAAACGAAAATTCACATTTTCCAAATTCTGTCCCATTTTCAAATGTGAAAATTTCTGAACACGAATTTGACAGATTGGATGGAATTTTTGCCCAGAGACCAATTAGTCAGTTAATTGATGATGGTATGAAACCAAATTGAGTTACTGGAAGTCAAAATTGCGAAGAAAATTGGAAAATCATACTGCCCCAAATTCTGTCCCATTTTCAGTTTTTGAAGATGAAATTTCCAGGACCGAAATTTTACAGTTTCTACTGAATTTCTCACCCACATTCAATTAGTTAGTCAACTAGAGTTGACATATGACACGATTGAGGTTCTAGAAATTTGATTTTGGTCGGAGTTAGCTCACTGCAGAAATCTTCACAAAACGAAAATTCACATTTTCCAAATTCTGTCCCATATTCAAATATGAAAATTTCTGAACACGAATTTGACAGATTGGATGGAATTTTTGCCCAGAGACGAATTAGTCAGTTAATTGATGATGGTATAAAACCAAATTGAGTTACTGGAAGTCAAAATCCGGAAGAAAATTGAAAAATCATACTGCCCCAAATTCTGTCCCATTTTCAGTTTTTGAAGATGAAATTTCCAGGACCGAAATTTTACAGTTTCTACCGAATTTCTCACCCACATTCAATTAGTTAGTCAACTATAGATGGCATACCTATGACACGATTGAGGTTCTAGAAATTTGATTTCGGTCGGAGTTAGCTCACTGCAGAAATCTTCACAAAACGAAAATTCACATTTTCCAAATTCTGTCCCATTTTCAAATATGAATATTTCTGAACACGAATTTGACAGATTGGACGGAATTTTTGCCCAGAGACTAATTAGTCAGTTAATTGATGATGGTATAAAACCAAATTGAGTTACTGGAAGTCAAAATTCCGAAAAAAATTGGAAAATCATACTGCCCCAAATTCTGTCCCATTTTCAGTTTTTGAAGATGAAATTTCCAGGACCGAAATTTTACAGTTTCTACTGAATTTCTCACCCACATTCAATTAGTTAGTCAACTATAGATGGCCCATGACACGATCGAGGTTCTGGAAATTTGATTTCGGTCGGAGTTAGCTCACTGCAGAAATCTTCACAAAACGAAAATTCACATTTTCCAAATTCTGTCCCATTTTCAAATATGAAAATTTCTGAACACAAATTTGACAGATTGGATGAATTTTTGCCCAGAGACCAATTAGTCAGTTAATTGATGATGGTATGAAACCAAATTGAGTTACTGGAAGTCAAAATCCGGAAGAAAATTGAAAAATCATACTGCCCCAAATCCTGTCCAATTTTCAGTTTTTGAAGATGAAATTTCCAGGACCGAAATTTTACAGTTTCTACTGAATTTCTCACCCACATTCAATTAATTAGTCAACTATAGATGGAATATGAGGTCACGAAATCCTCTCCGAACCTCCACGTGGTGTGGCCTGGTTGGCACTAACGGGTGGTGTGCTCTCTTGTTGAGTACAAAGGTTGGGCCTTGCCAACTCAAAGTTCCCATAGGAACCAGGAAGTCAACACTAACAGCTACCAAGCACCAGGAAATTTCTCTTTCAGATATCAGGTTACAAGATAGTACACACACAAATGACGATACATTAGACACAGATACCTAGCTCTAAGAGCTACTAAATCACCAGGAAATTCTCTTTCAGCTTTCAGGTCCCATCGAAGTCACCCACCACAGAGCTAGGGATTCCAATTCGCTCATCCTGACTACAAGGACACACTGATAATGAGTAGTCCTGGCACTTCTCCCTCCAGTAACCACTTTTCAGGTCTTTTCAGTTAAGACAGCTAATGCGTAAGGGCTGACACACGCTAGACACAGGCTCGTGATAAGACAGAATTAGGGATTTAAACTCTGACTACGAGGACACACTGATAGCGAGAATTCCTGGCACTTCTTCCTCCAGTAACCACTTTTCAGGGGACCGGGTTAGCTTTGCCACACTCTTCATTGAAGTGTGACTGGACGCTCTACAATCATCTAGTAGCAGCAGAGTTTGACTGACACCCTTACTGGTTCTATTCAGTTTCTACAGCGGAAGATCTCAACACTCGAAAACAGTTCATCTCGGACATCCTGCAGAGCTGCTTTTTCACAGCCTGCCCCATTACACGGGGAATCCTTAGATCTACAGTACCCTGGTGGCGAGCATAG